CTGTCCTAATACAGGCCCTGAGACACCATCACATTTAAAGACCACACATCTGTCTCTCCTCCCCCCCAACACACACGCAGCTACCACTCAATGGGACCCTCTGTGACATGAGGGACTGTGACTAATGCATCTTTAAATTCCTATTCGTCTTGAATTTCTAGACAGCATAGATTCTGGAATACAGCAGGTGCTCACGAAACGTGAATAGAATAATGAATTCAAGAAAGAAAGAAGAAGAGATGAAGAGGAAACAGCAAGAACATCCTGGAACAGTGTGCAATGAGACAAATCCACACGGATCATCTCCCCATGGAAGGCGCCCACTCACCACCGGGGGAGGTGGACAGAGTTAACGCTTGTGTGAGAGAACCTCGCCCACAACCCCAATGTCAAGGTCAAGGCTGCCGCTCTTTAACTCTAGTGTTGAAAGCCCATGAGCCCCTTCTCTTGCTGGAGCTGCTTCCTCTCTGGCTCGTTTTCCGGGGCTGAGGTCATCGGATGACATACTTGCTCTGGCTCATTTCCCTCTCCTCGGTCGGATCCGTCTTTGACCTGTGCCGGGCAGAAGGCCTGCAGGGGAACTTGGGGCTGAGACACAGTCTTCTGGCTGAATCACTCACCCAGCGCCTGGGTGAGATATAGGAAGACAGACCACCTTTCATCTTTCCCCTTTGGGCGGAAGGATGCCGCCAGATCCCTGGAATCTGCTATTTGGCTCAGGGCGGTCAATACTGTTCCTGTCTCCAGAGAATGGTGACAACTGCCAGCAACTGAGACGGAAGGAGAGCAGGTGTCAGTTTGGGGGCTCCGCACCTGGCTGCAGGTACAGGCCTGTCACCTGTCTCCTTTCTCCAGGGGTGTCCCACAGGCTAAGCAGACTGTGGCACAGCTTTTGTCCAGCGACCTTTCCTACCTTGTAGAACCACCAGAGCACGGAGACAACTACAAAGGAGAAACCAGAGACCCTCTAACGCCGTTTCCATGGTCACTTTCAAAGGCATTTCCCATATTCGAGACCGTGCCCTAAACAGAACTGCATGTTCTTCTGTGACTTTAAGCTCCTTTGACTGCTCGTTCTCCTGTGGCTGGAACTCTGTGGGGGCAGCACAGTCGGAGAGCTCCCGCAGGGGTGGCCACTCACCACTGGGGGGCTCTGGCCTTGGGGTGGGGCGGCCGGATGCCACCTAATTCAGCGCCGGTGCCGCCGCAGTTCGATCTGAAGCCTGGCGCTGGCTGAGAGTCTGCTCGGAGAATGTGGAATTTTCAGCACCTTCTCCCAGTCTTTTACTTATTATACACTCTTGGCAGGACAGCTTTTAACATTTTTTGGCACCCTGTCCTTCGCATTTGCATTTCCTTTCTGGGAGGCATTTTCTTAATGAAACCACTTATCCCTCAGTAGGGAGAGGCTTCCAGGTTGAAACGCTTGCAGTTTTCAGTACAGGTGCCCACCGCCTCTGGTATTTTTGTTATTGTTGTTGGTTAATTTCTCGCTGTAATTTAGATTTTTCAAAATTTCTAACTCCCCCCAGGTGGTTGCTAAGATAGGGGGGATGGGGAAGATAAACTCAACAAGGTAGCACCAGGGAAGGAAAGGTGAACAAAACTTAGACAAGAAACTTAAAAAAAAAATAACATGAATAGATACCATGGCACAGAAACTCTGACTACATTTAAAACTATTGAATAGTACACTTTAAATGGGTGAATGGCGTGACATGGGAATTATGTCTCAATACACCTATTTTTTAATGGTAAAGAAGGGAGGAGGAGGGACGCCTGGTATCGGTTCGGAAGTCACACGGCCCGGATCGGTGCAGGACGTCCGATCAGCGCGCAGCAGAGGCGCCGCGACGCTGTCTGCGTGCTTCGCACAGGCCTACGGTAAGCAGGATTCGTGTGCGTGCACGCCCGGCGCCGGCAGGGAAGTCATGTGTTGGCGAGGCTTCAGCTGCGTTATATTTATAACCATGTGGTTGCTACCGGCTACCAGCAGGTCTCCTCGCTCCGGTTCACTTCTCTTTTCTCCGTGTCCTCATTCCGTTCCTAAACGCCGCGTTGACGGAGGGGCCTGTGCGTGCACGCCCCCACCCCCGCGCAGGGGCTTCCTGGGCCCTGCTCGGGTCCCACGAGGGAGGGGCTATGTCCTCACCTGCCCGTCTCTGGCTGCAGTGCCGAGTCTGAAGGGTTGGAGACCCAGAGCCTCCCTCGGCTGTGGAGATGCATCTGGACCTGGGTGTCTGGGCCTGTGTCTCAGGATGGATGGAAACTGGATTGGACTCTGAGGTTCATTCGCAAACAACGCGACAGCTTCCCAGGCACACACGTGACGAGGCGATGAGGTTGTGCTTTGCAAACACCTGTGTTTCAGAAGCATTTGAGGAAGGCAGTTGAAATGCAGATTCGCAGGGTGCCCCGAGGTTTCTGATCTCACAGCTTTTAGCAGAGCCTGGGAATCTGTATTTGGGACATCCACTAATGTGCTCCCGATGCTCAATGTCCCCAGACCACCCTTGGAAGAGCACCCCAACCCTGGCATCACCCTGCCATCTCCACCAATGCAGCAAAATAGTCCCCCTGTGCCCCCCTTCTGTCTCCATCCTTTAGGTTCACATTCAGAATCACCAGACATGACCTTGAAGTTCCTCTGTACTCCACGCCACCTTTGCCAAAAGCATGTGTGTGATGGAGGGGCACGCACTGAGACCCAGTCCTTCACCGCCCCCCCCATGGGCTGGGGCCCCGTCCACTCGGGAAGTGGACCAACTGGACCTCCCGGCTGGAAAAGAGACGGGCAGGGTGGGTGCCGCTCGGAAAACAAAACCGCAGGGTTGGGGACAAGGCCCTGCGTTCTGCGGCTCACGCCAGCTCCGTGTGGACACACACACAGGCACACACTGCCAGCTCACGGTCACTGGCCCACACAGCCAGTGTCCCTTGTCCCAGTCCGTCTCCTCAGCTGCGATGTCAAGATTATTATTTATCTTTAAGGGGGGGAAGGAGAGAGGGAGAGAAACATCAATGTACCCCTCCGACCCCAAGTTTTGATAAAATACCATTGTTATGCACCCTTGGATCTTTAAGGCTATTCAAGCTCTGCTGTGTGCACATACACACACACAGGCAGCGGCGGAGCCTAATACCAATCCATCACCACGCCAACCCTCCAGTCTAGATGCCCTTTCAGGATGCAAAGGGCATATGCTTTGGAGTCGAAAGACCTCGGTTCAAATGCTACCTCCGCCCCTTCCTAGCTACCTGGTCTTAGGGAAGTTAATTAAATCCCCTGAGTTTCCTTGTGAGGAGGAACGAGAGCACTGGTCACGCGCCCAGGCCTAGGACCAAATGGGAAACCTAGGAACCTGTCTCATTTTCTATTTTGTTTTTTTCATGTTTGAAAGGAAAAGCTGGTGTTTAAGATTTTATTTATAGACAGAGGGGAAGGGAAGGGGAGAGGGAGAGAAACATCAATGTGTGGTTGCCTCTCGCACGCCCCCTACTGGGGACCTGGCCCGTAACCCAGGCATGTGCCCTGACTGGGCATCGAACTGGTGACCCTTTGTTTCGCAGGCCGGCGCTCAATCCACTGAGCCACACCATCCCGGGCATTAGTCAGTGTTCTTAATTGCGAGCATCGGAAATCATCTCTGGCTGAAGCAAGCGAGGGGGGATGTATGAGAGCGTATCAGCAGCTTGCGGGGCTGCCAGGAGCTGAAGAGCCAGGTGCAGGAAGCGGACTGGAACCCGGGGGGCTCGCGGCCACGACGTGGCCAAAACCACACCTGGAGCAGTCTGTTGGCCTGCCCTCCGCACCAGGGACCTGACCATTATCAGCCGTCTCTCCCTTCCCAGCTCACTTGCTCCAGGATTCAAAAACCCAGAGAGAGAGAAGGGGGTCCTTGGCCACACAGGACCCGGCCTGTACTCGGGTTGTGGTGGTGGTTGGAGACGGTGGTGGATGTTCTGGCTTCCACAGTTGGTGCTCCTCAGAAACACAGGCATTCCAGAGGCCAAGCAACTGTAAAAAACCACTGTGCAGTAGATTCTCGGCACTTCCGAGGGTCGCTTCTCCTCCCTGTTCCCATCGGACAGTCATTAAGCTCCTCGGGCGCCTTCTTTGTGTCTCCAGGAGCACACCTGGGGGCTTTACCGCGGGGGGGGGGGGGGCTGGGGTGGTGGGGGGGGGTGGTTCCCAGGTTCAAGGACCCAGCCGGGCAGGAGGTCTGTCTCCTTCATCCCCATAGCCCGAGGGTGCTCTTAGCAGCTAGTGGATGCTACAGTTTGTGAACATACATTTCTCTACACGCACAGGCTGCTTTCTCTGCCTCTCACACATACACACGCGGCACAGATCCACTGATAACATGTAAATAAGCCGTGGGAACCTGCCCTGCAACCGGTGACGTGTTGGGCAAACGCCCTTGATCTTGGCCAAAAGGCTGAGAAGCCGCACATGTTGGGCCCACGGGAGCCGACCTATTGTTTACTTCATTCTAGTTTTCCATTTTTGCTGTTTAATGAGCTGCGTGCCCTTAGCTGCGTTTTAACAGGAGGGAGTCAGGACGCGGGATTCCCGGTTACCTTTTCCAGTTCTTCGGAGCATCTTGCTTTCCTGGCCGTCAGAAGGGGACCCAGAACAGACTAGACCAGGCCAGGCCAGACCAGACCAGACGAGACGGGGGTGGGAGGGGGTTGGGGTCCTGCCCAAGCACACCAACCCCTAGCCTAGGGGCCTCTCTGGTAAGTCCCCCCAAGTCCCGGTGGGTCCCTGACCGGTCCCCCTCTCCCAGCCCACGTTGGCCCGAGCCCTGTGCACGCCCCGCCGCCCCCGCTCGCGTCTCCAGCCGCGGTTCTGGCTCGCGCTCTGCACACCCCGCGCGCCCTCCCCCGGTGCCCCCGGTGCACTTGGCGACTCCGCGCTGGCCGCGGGGCCAGCACGTGACCCAGAAACTTTGGAGGCCGCGGGGCGGGCGGCGGGCGGCGCTGCGGGGCGGGGAATCGCCGCCGGGCTCCTGGCGTGCGGGAGCGGGAGCCCGAGCCGGAGCCGGAGCCCGAGCGAGCGCGGGAGCTCGAACGGCAGCGCGCCCGGGCCCGTCTGCGCGGTCCGCCCGGGGCGGCGCCCAGGGACGCGGACAGCCGCTCGCGCCCGCCCTCCGCCACCCCCGCCTCTGCCTCCCGGTCGCACAGGCAGATCGCCGCGCCGGTGCCGCTTCCCACTTCGCGCCCTCGCTGGTCTGGATGGGAAGTTAGGGAAGATGGACAGGGTCTCGCTGGCGTGGATCGCTCTCCTCTGGCTGACGGGTAAGCGGCCTTTCCCGCCGACCCGGGAACTTTACCGGCGTTCTCGCACCGGGGTGGGGGGCTCAGCCCCCGCCACCCCCACGGCCCCCGCCGGTGCTGAAGGCGCCCGGGAGGCTGGCGGCCAGTGGGGGAGGGGCTGTGCGTGTCAGCATGTCGGGGGGCGAGGAAGGGGGAGCCCGAACACAAGGGAGACGATGGAGAGGCAGGTGTCTGACCCGTCGCAAACAGGGGACCGTCCCTTCTCCCGAGCACGCATTTCCCGGGCCAGACAGCGGCGCTTCCTGAGTTTGCAGCGCTGGGGGAAGCCTGGCTGGACCAAACGGAAGCTCGGAGGAGACTGATTAATTAAGGAAACTGGTTTTCTGGGGGTGGGGGTGGAGGAGTGTCTAATTCCTTCCCTGGAGAAGCCGGGAACCAGAGGCGGTCTCGGGGCAGGTGGGGGTGGGGGGAAGAAGGGGGTTGGAGGCCCCATGGGTTTGGAGTTCAGGACCCTGCCGTCTCTTACTGGGACCGTTCGGGGAGTGGCCCCACAATCAGAGAGGACCCCCCCCCCCCAGTACATATAATCTGCAGGAGGCAGGGTTGTCCCAGCCTTTCACATCCTCCAGCTGGGCCCAGTGTTGGGGGGGGGGTCCCTCCTCATGAACTTTCTCCCACCCTTCTGGGGTCTGCAAAGGCTCTTGTTCCTAACAAGTTGTCCCCACCGGGTGATTCTGCACGTTTGAGGGCCAGGGGGCCAGGCAGGGGGGCCAGCCCTGAGTCTCAAAGCAGCCGTGCTTGGGCCAGGGTGTTTGGAAGGTGGCCTGCTCGGGCCTGAGACAATGCCCATGAAGTCCAGGAGATGGAGGGAAGGGACAAGGGACCAGACAGGTTGTGAGGACAGGTTGAGGGGCAGGAGAGAAAATGCAAAATAGCACACCGCCACCCCAAAATGAAAACTTGTCCCTTCTGGGGCCACGGACCAGAAGACTGGGAGAAGCAAGTCAGTGGGAAAGGGGGAACATGCTCACAGTCTCTTAGGCAAGTCAGCAGAAGAGGGTAAGATTCACGTCAGAAGGGCAGACCCTGTTTCCCGGGGCTTCAGCGGCAGGTGTCTGACTGCCTCCGGCTGCACACTGAGGGCCCTGACTGGCCCTGGCCCCCCGCTGGGTCCAGTTGGGGGGGCCCCCTGAGCTGACTGTCTCCCTCCCACAGTATTCAAATGTGAATCATCTCTAATTTCAGGGTTGGCTTGATCCACCTCCCGCCCCCCTTTCCCTGGCCTCCGGGGACCTGCCACTCCCCCTCACTGATTCTGAATGTCCTCAACTTGCCTCCTCTTCTCCATTAGCAGATTCCAGGGCAGCCTTGGCCTTGAGCCTGTATCACACCTTCCCTGAAGTCAGCTAGGCACCTGGGGAGGGGTCCCCCAGTCAGGTGGTCTCCAGGTCTGCAGGGAGTGGGGACAGAAGGGAAGGAGCCCTTGATAGATGGCTCACAGCTTCTGTCGAAATGCAGTCACACCTCTGGCAGGCGCCCAGGCCGTCCAGCCCAGCTCTGTGAGCAAATGCCTGCGGCCGGGGCCGGAGCCCCGTTCTCTCCACCCGGGGCCAGTGGGATCGGCTGGCTCCTGAGCTGCCTTTCTGAGGTTCCCGTGGAAGGGGCGTTTGTGTCCTTTGTGTTGTCAGGGGTGGGCCGCTTTATCTGTGCCCTCCTCCTTTTGCACCTGGAGAGGCGGCCCCTGCCTGGAAGCTGGCAACAGGTTAGTGAGCAGGGCCACCGGCTGTCAGACGCCTGGGCTTCTGTGCCCTGCAGGTGAGGCCGGCTCCCTGGGACTCACGGAGCACCCGCCGCCATCCCCCGATCCTGGTTTCTGCCTCCCCCGAGCCCCTGAGCAAAGTGGGGGCACCAACAATGGCGGTGGGGGAGGGGGCGGGGGAGGACGGACGGAGGGAATGGATTCAGACTCATCCTCCCCCGGAAACCCTGGGAGGGAAAGGTAAGACATTTCAGCCCAGCCCAATCAATGAATTCTCTCTTGCGGGGGTGGTGGAAGGGAGGGAGGAAAGGACAGATGAAAAATGAGTCAGAGAGCCAGGAAAAAAAAAAACAACAAAAAACCACGCACTCTCCTTGTCCCTCCGTCCCCTCCCCCTCCTTCTCCCCCTTCCCTCTCTTAACGCAGGCTGAGCAATTTCTAATCAGCACTTCAGTGTCTTCCTGGGGCTCTCGCAGCTCCTTCCTGGTCTTTCATGGCTAAAACGCTGGCCCTCCCTCTGCTGCAGATTCAGCCCGATGCTTCCTCATTGTTGTAGGGACATCGCTTCCTGTCAGAGATTGTGTTCTGTGGTTGTCGTCCTTGTTGTTCCCGGCAAAACAAGATGCTCGCCAGCTGCTGGTGCGGCAACAGGTGCGGCAGGGCAGGAAGACGGGCAGGACGCTCCTCGCTGTCTTTGTCCCCACATGTGGATGGCGTGGGCTGTGACCCCGGGGGGCGGACACGCTCCGGGAATGGGCGATGTGTTTCCCTGGTGACTCTTTTCGGTTCTGGTGAAGACTGCTTGCTCTAGTAGCGTTTCGTCTGGGTCCCTCTTGGTTTCATTCATTCATTCATTCATTCATTCATCCTTCCTATGGGCGTATATGAAAATCGTGGGGTTTCTAAGGATTGGGGTAGGTGCTGAGAATCAAGAGGTAGAAGACAGCCCTTGTCCTGAAAGAGTGTCATCTGTGCAGCGAGGGAAAGGTCCTGTGACGGGAGCAAGGGAGCCACACAGGTGGGAGGGATGTGCGTCCGGCCCACACCTGGGGGTGGTGCAGGGCTCTGAGGGGGACCCAGGAGAGGCGATGGCCCGGTCGAGACGTTTATTCACGCACAGGCGGCGGCTGAGTCCCTGCCACATCCGGGCACTGTGTAGGGCGAACAGAGGAAGCAGGCATGGTACCTGCCTTCAGGGAGCTCACAGCCCGGTGGCGGGCACACCGGTGACGAAACTGAGATCAGTGTGTGCAGAAGCGGTAATGGGGACCTGCGGGTGTGCTGTGGGTGGGGAGGGGGGGCTCCGCAGGGCTGCTGACCCAGCCTGCGGCTGGCACGGAGGCGTCCAGGCTGTTACATGGTCTGGCCAGCATTCGGGTAGACGCCTGGCGACCCGGCGAGGACAGGCGTGGATGTGGAGAGATAGTGTTCTGGGGGCCCTGGAGAAGGAAGGGGCGGGTTCAGAGATGGCGGGCACCTCGCTCCCGTTGTCTCCTTCCCCGCCCTGCACGCCTTTCCATTTCTCCCCCTCCTCTGTTCTGCGGTCCCCCCACGGAAGGGACCTTGTTCAGCCCCGAGCACCTTCCTTCTGCAGCGTCTCACAGCTCTCCCCACGCCCCAGCCTCCCCCGGCCGGAGGCTTCTCTCTGGACCAGGCCAAGGGGCTTCCTTCTGCATCCCCATCACTCCCTGGGTTCTAGCCTCACATGATGCCGCCGGCTGGCCGGTTTTCCAGACCCATTGCAAGGCTACAGCAGTCTTGCTGCGGTGCTGTGCTGGTATCGGGCTGGCCAGAGAGTTCGTTTGTTCTTTCCCATAAGACGGCTCCAGGAGCATTTAGTTGTCTGTAACTTCATTCTATGCAATTTTGTTGGATTGTATTGTGATAGCTGCCCTATCAGAGTGCATTCTTAAAAAAAAAAAAACTTTAAAATCGGTGAAGTTGTGTGTCGCCATTTTAATATGAGGATGGAAGAAAATACACAATATTTTTGGTCTAGTATGTTTTATTATATCAAGAAAGGTCAAAGTGCAACTGAAACACACAAAAAAGATTAGTGTGGTGTATGGAGAAGGTACTGTGACCGATCAAACGTGTAAGAAGTGGTTTGCAGAGTTTCATGCTGGAGATTTCTCGCTGGACGACGCTCCACGGTCGGGTAGACCAGTTGATTGCGATCAAATCGAGATATTTATTGTGAATGATCAATGTTCTACCCCGTAGGAGATAGCCGGCATACTCAAAATATCCACATCAATAAGGTATTGGTAAAAATAAAAAGTGTGTCTTTTATGGCAAAAAAAATAAATGTAGCTCATCTTAAGAGACAGGACCCAGGCTTAGTCTTTTTTTTTTTTCCCACAAGAGCTTAGTCTGAAGGCCACAATTAGCTGCAAGAGAGGCGAGTACTGGCGGGCCAGATTAAACCCTGGAAGTTCTGTCAGTGACACAAGGGGACCGTTAGCATCTCCATCTACAGAGTGATGAGTCTGAAGAGCTTGTGTAGCATCCAGATGGAGCATAACACGGAGCTCAGGTGAGAGAGCTGGACCGGAAACACGGATAAGTTAACCAAGGACCTCTCTTTCTCCCTCCCTTCCCCTCTCTCTAAAAGTAAATAAATAAGATCCTTAAAAAAAAGTTAGCAAAGGTTGACGAGAGCTTTCTTCCGGGAGTTCTCGCCGTGCAGATGGCTGGCCCGCCCTAGCAAGTTGACCCACCTGAATGAACTGGATAAGACAGTTTCCAAAGTGGCTGTGTCCTGCGGGGCAGTGACTGACCTCTTTAGGACGGCTTTGGTCCCGCTGGAACAGCAGGTGAGCCAGCCGACAGGAGCTCGCCTCAGATCTCTGGGCGATGAGGCAGCACAGGCGGGGAGGATGTAGGCCCCTCCCCGGCTTTCATCTGCTCGGTGGCCGCAGAGAACAGGCCAGCATGGCTCCCCTGGACGCACAGAACCTGCGCTTAATGAGCGGCACCCTCTGTGTGCAGAGCACCAGCGTGCTGGCTGCAAACTACAATTAGGCCATGAGGGATATCGGCATGGGCAGGGCCAGCCATGACATTTACCGCACCCCGTGGAAAAGGGGAGAGATGCCGCGTGGGGGGGAGCGTCTCTCGGGGAGAAGATGTGCGAGGATGCTGCCGTAGTTTGTTAAATCTCCGCGTGGTACATCTGGTCACCCTGACCCTAATGCCAGGTACCAGGGCGGCAAACGAGAAACTGATTCTGGCCAATGGAAGCAGGAAGGGAATTTACTGG